GTATCAGCATATGCACCGACCAATTGCAGTTCTGATACCCAAAAGGACGCTTTCTACGATGAACTCATCGATCTCGTTCGGATGAGTCGAAGCTCCGACATAGTTGTACTTGCGGGTGACTTCAACGCGCAAGTTGGAAAACTGAGCGCATCGGAAGCTTGCCTAGGCGGTAGTTGTACTCTGTCCTGCCAACGAACAGATAACGGCGATCGACTTCTTCAGTTCTGCGCAGACCATCATCTGTTCCTATCACGCACCAACTTCCGACATAGCTCTCAACGGACGGCAACGTGGTGCTCCAGTTCAACTGGTACGCTAACTCAAATCGACCACATAGCAGTAAATTACCGTTGGCGTGGCTCAATGAAAAATTGCAGGTCTTATTGGACCACCTGCGTTGAGTCTGACCACGCATTAGTTCTGATGCAGTTCATTCTCCGACTGACTGGTCGGCGACAAAACCAGCAAGCTCGGATAGCTCATCAACAACTATCTGCTCCAGCCGTTCGTGCATGCTATAAGTCAGAGCTAGTGCGTAAGCTAAGTGCGCTTCAGCGTGGTGATATAGACAAGCAGTGGGATCAGATTAGGCGAGCAATGCATTCCGCAGCGAATGTTGCTTGTGGGTCTGAGCCTCAAACCCATCGGAGGCATTGGATATCTCAGGAGTCAGTAGCTCTGATGGAGCAAAAACGTCAAGTCCCGACTTGCCAGGATCAAAATAGAGTTAGGCGGCAGCTACAACGTCGGTTCACGAAGAGTCTCAAGATGGACCGTGAAAACTGGTGGACAACAATAGCTAGTGAAATGGAAATAGCAGCTGCATCGGGGAATAGTGAAAGACTGTTCCGACTGATACGCAACACGGGAGGTCGGCGAACCCCAGTTGGTAAAACAGTCTGCGATAAGAGGGGACGAGCTATTCACAATAGGGACCAACGAATCGATCGCTGGGCAGAATACTTCAACGAACAGTTCAGCTGGCCTAGTGCTAACCAGGCTGCTTCATCTCCGACTGAAGCNTCAATATCTGATGCGAGGAAAGGCATCAGGACCTAATGAGCTCCCTCCCACTCTCTTCAAGGTGGGAGATGATTACCTCGTAACCTTTATTACTACGCTACTGCACAACATTTAGTTGCAAGACCACATTCCTTCATCTTGGGGCGAATTACTGATCGTTCCCATATTCAAGAAGGAATCCCGTAACAATTGCGAAAACCACCGCGCGATAAGGTTGATCCCGATCGTCACCAAAGTGTTAGCTTCGGTTATAGTTCGACGTCGGCCAACGGTCGCAGTGTTCCTTGGCCTGAAAGGAGCATCAACTCAATTGACCGCGAAGCTCTGATGGGCTGCCTTCTTCGAAAAAGAATGCCCTAGAAGTACCTTGACCTACTGAGGTCACTGTACTCACATACCTCCGGTCTTGTAAGGGTCTACAACGAAATAAGTAGGCTGTTCGTCACCAGCAGCGGCGTTCGTCAAGGGTGCCCTCTTTCGCCGTTCCTGTTTAATTTCGTCGTGGACGAAATACCGGGGAGTGCACTAAGGGGACTCAAAAACGTAGGTATTAAATGGACAGCTGGAGAAAAGCTGTGCGATTTAGAGTACGCCGATTACATCGTCTGCCTGTTCGAATGTATGGAGGACGCGCAAACAGCACTTGATAGATTAACATGTGCAGTGGCCACATTCGGTATGTGCTTTGCACCTTCAAAGTGCCAAGTGCTGCTGCCTGACTGGGCTTTGTCTACTCCCACTCTGACACTAAATGGCCAGGATTTAGTTGTGGTCGATTACTTTTCCTACTTAGGTAGTTACGTGNGAGATAACCGCCCGCATTTCCAAGGCTCGAGCAGCATACGCAGGACTGAAACACCTTTGGCGTAGACGCGACGTTTCACTGTAATTGAAAGGTCGTGTATATTGTGCCACCGTTCGTTCAGTCCTGCTTTATGGTTGTGAGACGCTGAATTTCCGAGTAGAAGATATCCGTCGACTAGAAGTTTTCGACTATCGGTGTTTACACAGTTTAGCCCATGTTGGATGGAGCAAACTGGTTAGTAACGTGGAGGTAAGCCGTCGTGTGTTTGGGAGTCTGTCAGGCATAATCCTGCTAGCACCGAATTCAGATTACTAGGCTTCGGTGGCTAGGGCACGTATTGCGTATGTCCAGCCATCGTCTGCCGCACCGCGCTTTATTCGCTGTAGCTAGTACGGGTTGGAGGAATCCACGTGGAGGTCAACAGATGACGTGGAGAAGAGGCATGAAGAAATGCACAAAGCCATTAGGTAGAGTAGGTGTCTCTCGCCTTCCAGGTTGGGGTCCGAAAGACTCCACAACTGGTTGGTTGGAGACTGAAGGATATAGCAGCG